TGGTAGATGTCTTTACTAGTTAAATTCGAATTTATCTTCACACCCTTTAATTATTGTAGGTATTATTAATCTAGGCCTAAGGACGCTTAAGTGTTATTGCATTCTTTTCACTTGTACTTTACTTGAACTACTAGGATATGCAATCCGATATATTTTAAATATATATCTTACACATTCTCTCTTACATTCTTTACGATACACTTCAGGTGGACGCATATATGTAGTAATATGCGGTCAGACTACACCATTCGGGAAAACAATATTTCTTTACCAGCAAGCGATGAAAGAGAATATTCTAGTTTTACATTATTTTGATTGGCTACAAAAAATGATCCACTTTTGATGACCTCATGTTTTGAACTCGAAACACTTGCTAAAATGCATTATCTGCCTATGAGACGATCGATAACCAGTAATCAAGTAGGAAAATAACTCACAACCGAAATGTATGAAGTTACGAAGCGAACAAAAGTTCCTTTAAAGTGTGTGCGTTTTAGACAACATTGGTTACGTTTAACTTAAAATCTTTATAAAATTGTTCATACAAACATAAGAATTATTCAGATTTTTCAAATTAGTTAGTTCTGATTGTTATCCAATTATTATGATGAAGACTTTTTCCGTTAGTTTAACATAGAACAACATCACACTTATTAGAAAAAACAACCATTAGCATATAATTTTTTGAAAAAAAAAATTACTTTTCTCGATAAACCTAAAATATTTAAATAGAAATAAACAGAAGTGTTCATGATTTTATATATATAAAGATTTTAATAATGAAAAAATAAAAGAGTTGAGCTTTTTACACCCTACACCAATTGCATACACTCGTGTATATGAAGTTTATATGAGTGTATGCAATACTCAGGAGCAATTAAAATTGAACCATCTTTTCAGAAGAAATTTAGAAAAAGATTTTGTCCGTCTGTCCGTCTGTCCGTCCGTCCTTCTGCATTCTTTTGTTCAACCTATAAGTCACAATTTTGGAGATATTTTGATGAGATTTAGTAGATCGATGTGTTTTGACCTAAGCCTAAAGGCTATTGAAAATGATTCGGATCGGACTGCTTTTGCGACCATTTTATTTATATGTAATGATGGACCGTGAATTATTATAATGATTTTACTATAGTGCTATAACCTTTTAATTTCTGTATAGATTTTTATTCCATTGATATTCAACTATTTTATGCTATACGTTAGACGGGATCCAAGGGTCAACTGCATATTTTTACATTAACAGCATATATAGTTAGTCAATATTGCTTTAGTTTAAAAATCAATTTGTAACTTGTAGCGAAGCCATTCACCCGTTAATGATGAAATTTCGAAAAATTCAAATTTTATTTATTTTATCGTTTGGCACTCGATTCGATCTTAATTACCGTATGAACAGTAAGTCATTTACATTGAATAACATCTGGCTGGCAGCAATTAAAAGCAATTCCATGTAGTTTACACATATGTTGTAAGGCCGTGTATGACATGATTTGATTTTTTCATTTAGTGTAAATTTAAGCGCATTTTATGCCAACGTAAAGTGTACGGTTGCAAGTCAGCTAATATGCACTGTGATGTAATTAAAAGTCCGGTTAATTGTCGCTTTAAAATTGGTAGCAATATTTTTTTTTTTCCAATTGATATTTTTTTTATCTTAATTTCAATTTTCATTACTTTTAAATGAACATTAGTCTGCAATGGTAATAATGTATAGATTCTTATCTAAATAATTCATAAACTTGTAATGGATATTTAATGCTCGATATTTATGCACATCCAATGCACATAAACTGCAACGTTTTCGTTTTTATTTATTGTTTTGAAAAAATTGGTAAAGCAACTCCTGTCAATGATAATAATGCGTTTTTTTAATTGCGATTTTATTTTATTTTTTCGATTGATAAGTAATATTTATTATTTTTTGCTTTGTTATTTTATTTTTTAGATGTCAGATTTCTCGGATAGTTCACAAAGCGGTGTTATAAGTCCGGCAACATCGTTTATTGAAAATTTCCATAAGAAAAATGGTTCGACCATGTCCAGCAGTTCACCCAATATGAGCACAATTGGTACTACATCGCCAGCCATTAATGGTACAGTTGTTGGTGGTGGTGGCAGTAGTATGGGGACGGCTGGAACTTTGGCAACCACATTGGGTCGTCAAATTAATACAAGTTCTAGTTCATCGAGCAGCGTTAAAGAAACATCGTCAACTTCACAACAGGTATGAATCAAACAAAATGAAAACTATCTCAAACTCAAAGCCTAAAAGTAGGCCAAAGTAATTAATATTTACGCAAAAGCAAAAAAGCAAAAGAAATTTAAAAAAAAAAAGAAGAAATTTTTCTTTGCATTTACTTTAATTGCAAATGCAGATGACGAAAGGGGACGTATGATTATTATAATTACGTTACTCATACAAAAAAGAAAAGCAAATAATGAAAAATGTTCTTTTTTTTATGATGAATATAATATAAAATCTTACTGTTCTGGAAAGAATTTGAAGAATTTATTTCGGAATAAAATATAAAAATTTTTTTTTTATTTAAATTAGATAAAAGCGAATTCATATAATGTATTGTTTTTGTTTTTGTTTTTTTTTTTTTTTTTTTTTTTTTGTTTTAATTATTGCAAGTCCTAGTAAATGTCACAATCGCTTTTTTAAATTGGCTTCAAAGAATTTAAATAAATGTTAATCTAACATAAGGGTCTTAGTTATTTTTGATAAGTCATACATAACATATTGTTGGAAAGTGCCGGAAGCATTAACGTTTAAGTTATCAGTTATTTTTAAACAGTTATTTAATTTTAAATACAACTAACGCAATTCCAGGTATGTATGGTGACTTAACGTGCTATCAATTGTGACATCTATTTAGAAAGCACTCGAATTCCAATTAATTTACGATAATGTGTGAAAAAGACACTTGCAAACGTCATACTATATAATTAAATATTATTACATATTAAAAAAAAAACACACAATATTATTAGAAATGATCTTGTTTTTGTTATTAGTTTATGACGTTAGTAACGATAGACGCCTAACAGGCTGCTTTCACCTTTTATAAATTTATGGTTTTTTTATAATGACTATAAATAACGTATGGCGGTATCTATATTAATTATTCGTCAAATAACGCATTCAAACAGCTGTACATCTGTTTAGTTAGCGCCATTGTCAATTAAAACAACTTAACATTGTCCATCGATTTGTCGATTATTTATTTTTCTTAGCATTTGATCTTGAATGATCAGATTAAATACACACACACACACACACACACGCATATATACACGCACCGACACATATAAAAACGATCGATACAAAATTTAAAAATGATTGATCCCTCCGATAAGTAAAATCCTTATATTCATGGATTTCCATCTATTATATATATCATTAGCCTGCTAAAAAGTTAAATACTCCGGTTACCGAAATAACTATGTAAGAAAGTTATAGTCGGTGGACACTGCGCACTTCCGCTCCGACCAATTTGGCCCATTTTCAATACCAACCTGGGTGCAGAGACTTCCAATGTTTCTACTAAATTTGAAGTCGATATCGTCATTTTTGCGACCCGGGGAGTGCCAACAACACACATCACACAGACAGACAGACATGGCTAAATCAATTCAGAATTTCACGTTGATCAAGAATATATATATACTTTATAGGGTCTCTGAAGCTTGCTTTACATACATTATGGAAAAAAAGCGAAATAAGTGTATCCCCATCTTACAGTGGTGGGTATAAAAAGTGAAATTCGGTATAAATGCAGAAGTTTTTAAAGTACAACAAAATTACATTTACATCATTTACTCGGATTCTGAAAAAGTGTTTTCCCAAAAAGTTAGCATAAATTCTAGCAAACACTACACAATGAATGAACGATAGAGATATGGGCGAGCAGAAGCAGAGAGTGGCTGTTAGAACGTTTGCACGAATCTATGCATTATTAGAGTACATACATCATATCGCTGACGCCTTTTACTACCTTGTAATCCATATAATAAAAAAATCTATTTGAACGTCGCATACATTGCGAGCATTCACATAACAGAAATTATATCCGCCCTTAGGTGCACCTCTAAACAGTCTGTAGCTTCATTGAATTTCTTAGTACTGTTAGATGACTTTGTTAAAATTTTATGGATTATATTTCAATATACTTTCGACGATAACTTATAAGTCGTGAATTATGTTGTAGGAAAGGCATTCAAGGCATACATCTAAACCCAAGTCTAGCTGCATATTATTACAATGTGCAGAAAAGTGAAAAGAAATGTTGCGAAGCGTTGAGAAATTTTATTGTCTGCATATGCAGAAAAAAATCGAACATTCATTGAAGTCACTCTAATCCATCCATCTGTAGGTCATCTCTATACTCATAAGTAAAATAAATTTGAGAAAAACGTATAAATTTTTCTTTTTTTCGCCATTTCCATTAAAAATAATCCAAATTTCTGAAAACATACATACGCACACATACGCACACACACAATCATTTACACAATATTATGCATGACTCATTTAAAGTAAATGTTAGAAAAAAAAATTATGAAATGCAAACGACGACAACGTTTCATTTATATTTTAGTTAAATAATAGAAAAGCCGGCAAAAAATAATAAATAAATAAATAAATAAATAAACAAAAAGGTATATAAAAATTATCATTAAATTTAAATATAAAACAATTCCTCAACTAACGCCCACAATATATCTACCTAAACTTAGCACGTAACGTACAGTGACTCCGTAACGGTTTACATAGGCGAGAGCGTTAAGTGTAGAATTTTGAGTTGAGAAAAAAAGAAGCAAAAAAAAAAAAATCATATACGAGCACCAAAGATCAAACGAGACCAAGTTCTAAAAATATACTTTTATGCATGTGTAGGAAGAGCTTTGAAAATAATCAGAAAAAGGGGCCGCAGGGTTAGTTGGGGAATAGTTAGTTCATTTATTTTTATACATTCATTGTGGTGGCAGATAATTCTGAATTTAAATTTAATCAGTTTTATTCATTAATTAGAATACGAGCACAGTCACTGTGCTAAACTGCATTCTTAATCAGACACCAGTTAAAAGCGTCTATTTTGAAGCGCACATACTTGCATACATATATTTATGACAAAAAAAAAAAAAAAAAAAAAAAAAAATTATTAATGACTAATATTCAAGTAAACCTATTATTATTGTGCGCTAGAGAACGACTTAATAAGACTCACAGCACAGATAGTAAATAAATATCGCCCAGGGAAAAATTGGAAACGATCTTTGTATTTATCATAGGAGGCTAGAGTTATATCAAATTTACCCATCAAGCGGCGAAACAATTATAGGAACCAATTCATCTCTCTGTATCTCTTCACCTATCTATCCGTCTATCCGTCCGTCTATTGTTAGAAATATGTATAAAAATGCAATTTTAACTTATACAATAGACCGCGGGTGATTTATGATCGCAGATTAATTGTGAAAGTGGGCGTGATCTGTTGGCAACATTTTTACAGATAACTAGCAACTTGTAGCAAATGTAGCTTTAAAAGTCGATGCAAGATTCCATTTCCAAGAATCTTTTACGCAATCAATGTGATAAAGTATTTGTTATGTAACATGTTCTCTTGCGAATTTTCTCATTAAGCCGATCACTGTTGAGATTAAGGTCGTGTCAGTGAGCTCTGACTTTTAGGATAGCATTATTTTTCTTGTTTGATTAACTTAATCTGATATTTTCTGGTTGTGTCCGTTCGACTATTGCGATTCAATTCTTTTGACTCGACTGGCTTTGCTTTTCGTAAATATTCTGCTTCTATATAGAGCTGCTTCTATATAGAGCTCAAAAATCAATATATGTATCCATATCTCAGAATAGGGTGTCCGATGCTAATGTAATACTCACCTCTCTAATATTATAAATGGATGTGACTTATTTAATATACTCTCTGTGACGAGGGATATAATCGGGAAGGTTTAAAACAATTGAAATCCTCGATTTGATCAGTGGAAAGAAAGTTGACATAACACAAAGAGATCGAAACCTTACTTGTTAGAAATGCCATTGGAATGACAAAGTGTGGACTTTTGCACATATGCTTTCCCTAAGGGAAAGCAAGGAGAAAGAGACAGTGCCGAAGATGAAGACGAAACAGCAAATATTTCAGTCGCGTGGCAATGAGTCATCACAACAACATTTAAGGTTGAAGTAAGACTTAAAGAGTTAAGGCAAACGTGTTTGTATAATCATCGAAATGAGTAAACCAAGCGAAACATTACTGGGTCTGCTAGTAACATATATAAAATTTAATAATCGGCCCGAACGTGTACCACTTTATGTAAGGCGTATCTTCCGCGGTCTGAGTTATAAAATATATCCTTTTAGGGGTTTACTTTTTCCCGTGGAGGTCCTATAGATGAAGAATTTCCATATATAATCCAATTTTTAGAATTTCTTTGTCAAAATTAAGCTTTATATAGAGAAAAGGCCATGAAATGAATCCTAACCAATCCCTTTTTAATGCCATAGATTCTTAGACTAAAACTGATGCCTATGACCTGTAGGATGAATACTACAATCAAAGAGATACAGATTGACAGACACGTACACGTAGTCCAATCTGTTTATATCGATTGCCGAAAATATTCGAAAAGTGGGCCAATCTCACTCGTTCTACTTAATGTTGTATATACACTCGTACAAACTTAATCTATTGTTGCCATAAATAGTGCCGAAGATATCATCATAAGTAAAGAATAACAAAAGATTCTAAATAATAATTAAGAGTTAACAATAAAGAAATTTCAGCTTATCTAAAATACATAGGATATCAGGCAATTGAAATGAAAGAAATTATTCAGTAGACATTAAACGAAAAGAAGGGGAGGAGGAATTAAAGTCAACAAATAAGTGAAAAAAGAGCTACGACTAATAGTTGACCGTTTAAAAGATTGCCTTAAATGTGTTAAAACCATTAAATAACCAACAATATATGATATAATAAATAGAGAGAGAGAGAGAGAGAGAGAGAAAAGAAAAACAGAGCGAAAAAACCCGCTGAGCGGATAACGATATTGTGCTTTACTGATATCAGATAAGATATGCCATGAAATGATATTTTTTATTTTAGTTTTTAAAGTTCAACGGTATAGTATGTAACAAGTTATATAACAGTGTCCCTTTATAAAGTCCTCCTCTATCCCGGAATAGGCCCAGAAAATGTC